TGATAGTGAAGGCAAAGATAAACAGCTGGGACTACATAAAATTAAAGAGCTTCTGCACAGCAAAAGAGACAGTAACAAAAACAAAGAGAAACCCCACCAACTGCGAGAACATTTTTTGCACCCAACACTAAGGATAAAGGACTGATCACAAAAATCTGCAAAGAGCTGATGAGACTCAACAACAACAAAGAAAATAATCCAGTCAAAAAATGGGCAGAAGAGCTAAAAAGAAACTTCTCTGAAGAGGAAATGCAAATGGCCAACAGGCATATGAAAAAATGTTCAACATCACTTGTAATCAGGGAAATGCAAATCAAAACTACCATGAGATACCATCTTACACCAGTGAGAATGGCACATATTAAAAAAACTAGCAACAACAAATGTTGGTGAGAGTGTGGAGAAAAAGGAACTCTCCTGCACTGTTGGTGGGAGTGCAAACTGGTCCAACCACTATGGAGAGCTGTGTGGAGATTCTGGACCTACTAAACATAGAGCTTCCATATGATCCAGCAATTCCACTCCTAGGTATTTACCCAAAGGACACAGAAACATCAATTCCAAGGAACACCTGCACCCTATGTTTATAGCAGCACTGTTTACAATAGCTAAGCTTTGGAAATAGCCCAAATGCCCAAAAATAGATGACTGGATCAAGAAGATGTGGTACATATACACCATGGAATATTACTCAGCATTCAAAAAAGATAAACACATGCAATTTGCAGCAACATGGATGGCGCTGGAAGGGATCATGCTCAGCTAAATAAGCCAGAAAGAAAAAGAAAAATACCGGATGGTCTCACTCATAGCAGGAATCTAGAAAACTTAAATAAGGGACCAGGAAAATGAATAACTATAAGAAAGTGAAAATCAAAATCATCAAAAAACTATGAACCAGAGACACTCTATGGGGGGTAGGGGGCGGGAGGGGAGGGATTGGGGTCAAAATAAGGGGGTTGCAATTGTATGGGGAATATAAAAATAAAATTTATTAAAAAATAAAAAAAATATAAAAAAAAATAAATATCATCTTGAGCATCTAAAACATTTCCTAATAGTTAATTATATATTTTTTTCATTTCTTTTCATAAGCCTTTTTAAATTTTGCCACGTAGGATTTGTTTTATTTCAAATTATATCTATGTGTCATAACACATAGATATGTATTTGATTCTCAGTAAAATTATAATGCATGTATGAAAATGCATAAGTATTAGAAGTGTGTATTACTACTTAAGATCATTAGGGTGTATATGTGTATATATATACCTTAATGATTTGTAGTGATAACACCATTATATGCTATAAACTTATTGACTCTAATGTAAAGAAACACCTAGAGAAATAGACTGGTAATTTTAGAATTCTCTATGCTTCAACATATCCCAAAATTGCCTGAATAATTTAAATTCCCAATTCAATTTGATACTCTGTAAAATCTTTAATTGTTAGTGTGATTTTACAGTCTGAGCTCTGTTGGGCAAATCATTGAGTATACAGGGTTCTTTGTTAGCTTTTTCATGTGCAAGGTGGTCTGTGGTCAATGAAGTAATCCATTTCTTCTTAGTTCTTCAAAATAGCAGTTATTGTTTATGAGTAATCCTTTAGGTTTTGAATACAGAAAGAGCTAGCATGGCTTAGAGTAGTGTCTTCTCAAAGGTATTTATTATTTATGGTGATAAAAATACCCTTTCTGTCCCCTCCAGATTGAGTAAACTTCACTTTCTTCTTTCTGATGTTATATCTTTGACCTCCCCCTTTATCAGAACATTTACTTAAAAAATCTTAGAATTATAAATTCTTTCTGTGCCTCTTCAGAGGCAAAGAATCTTGATTGTTTCCAAATCTTGATTGTTTTACAACCCAGAACTGACTTTCTCTAATGATCTGGCTTCCATTTCTCTTAAATGTAATCATAGATGACTACAGTATTCCCTCCCCCAGTTTCTATGGCAAGCAGGAACCTAACTTGGGGAGCTTTGACCTATTTGTAAAACTATAGATCCTAGGTATTAGGAAATATATATTTGTTTGGTCAAAAGTAAGTAACAGAGAAGGCTCATGATCACACAATAATCCCTTAAGATCTTTCCAGAATTTTATTTTTTAGCAGAATTGGTGCTCACTGAGATATGGCCTCATACCCCTATTGTTAGTCATGAATCAATTTTTCATTTTATTTCTAACTTAATTTGCCTTGAATATGCCTAAGACCATTATAGTGATAACACCATTATATGCTATAAACTTAGCATCTTTTAGCATATATCTTCAAATAATAAGTATTCAGCAAATATTTGAACTAATTTTAATTTGAAAACTCTGTCCTTTGAATTTTCATGGGCCTGTATATACATGACTTCAATCACAAGAATGGAGATTTGTAACTCATGCTTCACATTGAGTAAAATTACACAAATGGTTCTATTATCTATTCTTCAACATTTATGTATTTTTTGTCTGATAGAGGGTTATTTCTAATTATAAAGGAACTCATAAAACTCAATTGAAAGACAATCTGATTTTAAAAAGAACAAAAATTCTGAATAAGACATTTCTCTGAGAAACATAAACAAGTTACCAGCAGATATGTGAAAAACATTCAAATCATTAATCATCAGGGAAAGGTAAATCAAAGCCATAGTAAGATATTACCTCCTATCTGCTAGGGACACTATTATCAGAAAGACAAAAGATGACAAAGGTGTGGATGTAGAGAAATGGTAACCTTCTATAATATTTGTGGATATGTAAATTGATACAGGCATTATGAAAAACAGTATGGTGGTTCCTCAAGAAATTAAAAAGAGGGCCTCCCCAGTGGCGCAGTGGTTGAGCGCTGGGCTGTGAAGCTGCCCGCAGCCTCTGTAGCACCGGTTCGATCCCCAGCCGCCGGGGGAGGGTCCCACATGGTGCACAGACCTTTCCTGCCACCTGCTGCTCCCCTCAGCAGTGTACTTCTTTATCAGTCTGCCTGTTCTGCTCTCCGCTCTGGCTCTGGTGAATCTTCTCACCCTCCCACGCTTCTGACTGTACCCAGTGCTTATATAAATAAATTAGTCTTTAAAAAAAAGAAATTAAAAATAGAATAGATACAGCCAACTATTTGTAGGTGTGTATGTGAAATAAATAATATCAGCATAACAAAAAGATACCTTCACTCCCATTTTTATACAAGATTATTCACAGTAGACCAGCTGTAGAGGCAGCGTATCTGTCACTTGTGTCAGTGAATTGATGAATGGATTAAGAAACTTAAACCACATTGAGTGTGTGTGACGGGGTGAGGGTGTGGAGGCACGGCATCTAAGTGAATAGAGGTTTGTTTGATTGGTGGCATTAGCCAGACTCTTTACTAGCAAATTTAGGACTAACAAATCCAGAGGCCTTTTGCACCTGGGAACCCCAGATACATGTGGTGTAAGTGATTCTCTGTGTTTGTGTGTGTTGACATGTTTCCCCTTCCCCTCTGGTGAAGTATATTAATTAATGAAAACTTGATTCTTTTTGAAGATCATTTCAGAAGGAGGAACCTAATAAGATGCCTTAAGTTGACTTGCAGTAAGTTTACTCATCATATACCTTGAATTCCAGGACTAAGTATCCTATATATTCTTGAGCTACTATTGTGTGAAAATACCATTACACTCAATGGGATTGCTGCCCATGCCTCCTCCTCCTCTAGAGAACATCTGAGGTTGTTAGTTTAGGGTATTAAATCTTTGTTCTGGAACTTTGATCTGTGCCTGTGAAATGTAGCTCCCTTACAGACTGTAGAGTCTGCGAGCCATTCATTCTGAGTTGCATGAGGGGAGTTGGTGGCAGAGTCCCCACAACTCCCTTTTAGTCCTAGACCTGGGTGTGCCCAGGCAATAATACATTTCGGGCGCCCTGCACCTTTAGTGATTTGAGACATTACAATAGGTTGGTGTGAGGGGCATAACCTGTGCCTGTCCTGGAATGTTGAGGCAAGAGTGGTTTGGAGGGACAAGGTCTCAGATTTGCAGGAAGAGGAGAAAAATGAAGGCTGATTAGATGTGCACTGAACAACACCAAGTATGATAAGGCAGACTCTCGTTCAGGTCAACTGCCAGTCTGACTGAAACACCTTGTTCTCTGCTTTCAGAATAAAAGTGTATTTTCAATTAGCTATCTTGTGGAATTTAGCAGGTAGAATATTGGGATCTGTTGTGCAACCATCCCAAACCAGGCAATCATTGCTGATTTGGGCAAATGGAAAGAAAATTTTGGATTCTTCAGTATCACATGCCTTTAAGGCTGAATCAGGGTACTGGACTCAGAGGCAGATCAACAGATAGGGAGACAGATAGGAAAAACTGAGCCTCCCAGCACCATCGAATTTCCATTTACCCCTTGAGTCCCCCTCCACCCACCCTGTTCCTGGGCCCAGGTGCCTGTATTTACATATGCACGTGTTCTGGCTTTGCTGGCGCCTTGGCCTAGGTGTCTGAAATTACAGGTGTGCGTGCTCCACACTCCTGCTTCCAAGTGCCCCTTGTAATAACACACCATCCTGTGTGGGTGATAAAACCTGGAAGGAAAGCAAAGAGTCTGGCTATGGGGGCCGAAGTAGAGCCTGAGTATCCCATGTTCCTTACAGGGTCACGGAGCTCCACTCCAGAAGTATGACTCAGTTCCCAGGATCTTTCAGGTTCCTAGAAGGTATAGCTTTTTGGCCCATACATGCACAATCTACTCTCTTGTTATAGTCTTAGGCAGTCACAACCTTCAGTGAATTTGCGCCAGAGCCTTTAGCTGCACCTGGGTAGTGCCCGAGAGAGAGGTCACTGCTCTGTGACTCTGAGTGGAAAATGGGATTTGCAAGGAAATTGAAACTTGCTTGGTTGGGTCTGTGAGCCAGATTCCTGGCAGGAGAGGCTTCCAGCATCCAGAGCACCCAGGTGATTCTTATCCCACACTCACTGCCAGCCCTCTTAGTTCTCGTGAGATCCTGAGAAATGGAGCTTCCTCTGGGAAGTATGGTTGTGCAGTAGCACTTTGGGGCCTGATTCACACTCACAGTTATCTCTGAAGCTCAGTGCAGGCCAGTTCATTTTCTCTCAGGCCCCCATCAGGACCTCAACCCTGCCAGGAGTAACAACTGATGCAACCAGTGTGTGTGAGTAACCTCTTCCTCCTCTTTCCGATACTGCGTGCGTATGACGGTCAGTGAGTGACTGCCTTTGTGTGTGTGTATGTGTGTTTATATTCAATTGCATGTATTTCTTGTTTTTCTTCCATCACTTGTGAGAATGGTCCTCATTGGACCAAACACTTTGATTTATTTCATTATAGAGTATAGAGAGCTCAACGCCACTAGGACCAGCTGCAGGCTATGTACGCCTCAGTGTACCTTGGGTTCCAGGAGAAAGAACTGTTGTTTTGCTTTGTTTTATGTTTTTTTGTTATTGCTTGGACACAACATGTGTTGTAAATGTCATTACTTTCAGTGAATTAGCCTCCCTGGTCTCCTTGTGAGAACTTCTACTCTGCTATAATTCAGAGTTATTGTTTAGGAAATTTGATGTGTGGTTGAAATGTAGGTGCCCTGCAGACTATAGGGACTGCAGTAGAGTGAGCCTGTCCCACTAGGCTGTGTGTTTGTTTTGTGTGTGTTTGTTAGTGAGCTGTAAACAATTTATTGAGAGTAAAGTTCAATAACAGATTACAACCATATCCTCTCTTCAAGCATACATGTAAGCTTTCTCTGGGTTCTCTGTATTTTGGGATTTATAGTTTTTACAGTACTGGTTAAATATGAAGATAGTGTTTATAAGTGAATCATTAAGGGGGGAATAAAAGTTTGGATTCTATCCAATTGGTGTACTTATACTTAAATATTAAAATAAATCAATTTTTAGGTTATAACACTTCCAGCTATGGCTTATTAAAAGTGAAGAGAATTGGTGTATTTACCATGGATTTAGCTTCCGTTATCACCACATAGTAAAACCTTGATCTATTTCATGTATTTTTGACATGGTAAATGTCACTACCATTCTTTTAATAGCTTATATTTTAAATTTATCATATTTTTGAACTCTTTTTATTTTTTTAAATATTTATTTTATGCAAGAACTGGGGTACAGGCCAGAGGTGTAGGAGGTGAGAGGATTCACCAGAGACAGAGTGGGGAAAAGAACAGGCAGATTGACTGAAATACACTGCTGAGAGGAGCAGCAGGTGAGTCAGGAGAGGTCTGCTGCGCCATGTGGCGCAGGGGATAGAACTTGTGCTGCAGAGGCTGCGGACAGCTTCATAAGTTGCATCTTAACCCCGTGTGCCATGAGGCCCTGAACTCTCTTTTTTAAAATGGAATACTTTTTTAATTCTTTCTGCCAAATTTATTTGAGGCTAACCTCTGCATGGCTACTGATCATTAGCCAGAGAATTTAGAAGTAAAAGAGTAAAGAAAAATAAAAGCATAATTTACAAAATTACCCCTGTGAACTGATCAAATTGAATGCAGATTACCAAGCCCTATTAAAAACAAAGAGAAACAAAACCAAAACAAACAACAGAAAGGTTGCCTCTTAATTTGTGTAGTGAATTAAAAAAAAGAATTATACCAAGAGCTGACTTCACTTAAAACTTGTATAGTCACAATCTTTTTAAAAATATTTATTTATTTATGCATACAAGAACTGGGGTGTAGGGCAGAGGTATGGGGATGTGAGAGGATTCACCAGAGAGAATGTGGAGCTGAACAGGTAGATCGATTGAAATACACTGCTGAGGGGAGCAGCAGGTGAGACAGGAGAGATCAGCTGCACCATGTGGGTTAGCTCCCTGGCCAGGGATCGGACTCATGATGCATTGGCTGGCACTAGCTTGATAGTGTTGTGTCTTTAACCACTGTGCCTCCAATCCCCAGTATAGTCACAATCTTAAGAGGCAGGTGATTAGAGTCAGAAAAAGGACAACTGGCCTTTTTCAATCATCACTTGAGTTTTCTGTGTATTTGTTATGGCTTTTTTTCTAGGGAATAAGAAGGGAATTCAAGACATCATCCAAATGTCTATCTTCAGAAATCTTACAGCTACTTGGTGTCATTATACATAACATGTAAAAGTATATTTCTCAATGACCTATTTCCTCAAAGTTATTGAGAATTTTTATCTCATATTCCTGTTTCACTATTTTCTAGCTTTAAATTTTATCTTTCTCATAGATAACACTGTATGGAGTTATCCCTTCTCCTATGTATCTCCTCCATGAAAATATAATCAAAACCTGTCAAATTTTTCACTTTTTCAAATATCTGTTCTTTACTTAGTGGAAAAAGGGAAATAGGAGATATTAGAAGCAGAAAAAAATATATGATTTAGGACCAGGGAATCATTTCAGATTTATAAAACTGATTCACAGTTATGTCCACATAACTGCCTTTGATGGAATAAATGATGATAATGTTACTGTCTTCTCAGTAACTTGTATGTTTGTTCTTGATAATGTCAATTTTATGGTCTCAAATTCTGAGGAGAGACATCATAGCTCTCATGTTTTCCAGTGTATGCATTGAGAGATGGATATGGGAATTGTCATTTTGGAAATGTTACAAGTGGTAAAAAAGGTACTTTTCTACTCTGTAATAACTCAGGAACAACTGGAAAAATGTTCTTTAACTGTAACAAAAATCAACCTGTAGGCAAGTCTAAGCATACAAATTTCATCATGAATGATATCTACAAAACAACGTGTGATTGACTGGAAATGGTGGTCTATAATGAAAGATCTCTCAGAAACCTCAGTTAGATTTCCTACCACAAAGAATGAAATACAAACCACATACTGAGGTCACATATCTGAGTAATGTGATAGACTTTGCAATATAATATTATTGACATTGATTTATTAATATTGATTTCTAAGCTGTACAACAAAGTTGAAGCTATTTTCTTTACTCTCTTTTCTAAATAGATCAAAGTATAAATAGTGAATTATAGATTGGTAGCTGTCTTGATATTTGATAAACTATGAACAGTGCAAAATTTTCAATGTCATATTTCATCAACAGTAATTAATTGTTTTAAGTGTGTTTTCCCATAAAAGTTATTTAGACATTTTACATTTAAACACTGTCATATTTAGAAGAAATATATGTTGAAATTGAAAAATGTATGACTTAAATTACATCGAATAGTTTTGTTATTTTTAACACAATGAATTTAAGCCTAACAAAATTAAAAAAAATAGTATATTTATTTTACATCATTATGGCATCTCTAATATGTCAATTTAGTATTTGGCATTTTTTTCCTCAATGAAATTTATATTTTAAGGAAAAGTAAATTTTAACTTTACTGTTTGTTTTATAACATTTCAGGAGAGAATCTTATATGAATATCTCTGTTTTTTCAAAAATTTTGCGTAAGTATATTATACCAACCAATTAATATGTAAAACATTTATCATTATATATGATAAGATTAGATGATTTTGAAATGACCAAAAACATAAATTTTGTGAGTTTTTTTAGAATCTCTTAGTAATACAGTGTGTGTGATTAAGGGAGCTTATAAAATACTACATAATACTGATAATTTAATGACTACAATTATAATTTCATAGGAATAGGTTGATATAAAAAAACATTGATTTTCTAAAGAAAATAAGTGATCATTTGGTAAGTGATGCTAATGTGATACTGTCCATTAGTCCTTTAATTTATTTTGGTTACTTTCCTCCCTATTATTGCTTGCAGCAATCTGCTACATAACCCAAGTTTTCATGTATTTTCTCCATCAAAACCTATTTCCTGTATTACGCAGCTATTAGTTCCCCGGTGTCTTTATCTACCTAGTCTACCTTTATGGTAGACTTAAATTATTTATCAATATCTAATTCCTCTCCCCCAATTAAAAATATACTCTGTTTATAACTCAGTTTTTTAAGGCCTTATATTTTGCTGGTGGCAAATAGCTAACCTCATTACCCATTCTCCCATGGTAATGTAGGACAGTGCTATAGTCTACTAGATTGTAAGTTACTTAAAGGAATCACAATATTTTATATCTTTATGTTACTAGTAACTGCTTGAATGAATCCTTCATAGGAACTTCTCTATAAATACATAATGCTATAAAAGTAGTAATATTTGCTATCTTCCTAAATTTTAAAAGGTTTGTCTATGACCAAGAATTTACTCTCTGTTAAATAGTAGGAATGCTTGCCTATGCAGATTTGATCCAAAAAACTGTCTCCTCTATCCATGTTTCCTCTGCATCAGCATTATGTGTGGTTTTCATACCATTGTATTTCCATCATCAGATATGAATATGAATCAGTCTCTCTAAATAGCATAATTAATATGTCACTACAGAAATGGAATTAGTTTTATATAAAGGTGATTTCAAGGAGCTCACATATAAAATGTGTCTGCAAACAAGACAAGATATCGGCTGTAAATATTCCTTGTAATAAATAACTCTGGATTACGTGAGATAATTTGAAAGTATCTAGCATTATAGAGTTGACTGGATTGACTCTTTGAAAATCTATCACCAAGAAATTAATTGAAGGCTGTATAGTTACTCATAGTTGTTCTACTTATGTCATTAAGTCAACCAAAATTACTGGAGCACAAAATGAACATTCTAGTTATTTGGGCAGACTCATCTGAATGGAAATGATTATGCATTGATCAAATCAGGTTCTCCAGGGTTTGGTGGTTATGAGAACTGAAATGCTTGAATTCACCACATTTTTTGTTGATTCGTTAATTCTTAGTCTATCTTGTTTCTCCCTAATTCAAAATTCACTGACTGCAACTCACTTTTAGAATATTGTCTCTATTTTTATCTGTTTCATTAAACTTTACCCTGGAAACAAAAATTTGGATATAATCTTGGAATTTTCAGGATGAACAAACTATAGAAATGATGGTACTATATGTATGTAATAATATTTTTAAATCTTTTACAAAAATATTGATATCTACCTTCAATATCAATCAGCATTTGAATAATCTTTCCAACACATGTCAATAAATAATTAAATTCACAATGAGACATTGAACATGTGTGTGTATTCACTTGCACATCTTTTTATTATTAGCAGTTATAAATTAGATGTGTTTTTAGAGTTTTGGATTTATTAAATTTTATTTAAACCACTTGC